CAATTACCCGAACACTTTATCGCGGTAAGTGTCTTTAAGCATGGCTTTCACTGTTTTTGTGTGCGTAAATCTAGCGCAAGGGGGAGGGACTCTACCTTCCGTTGCAAACAGTCTCGTCGGAAACCAAGGTTTGTCGCGGGACAAGGGCGACCCGCCAATTGTTGAAGCGGGCGAGCGACTCTATTCAAATCCCTTGAGCGGTTTTCAGCCATGTCTTTCCATAAGAGTACAGTGCGGCGTTTCTCATCAGGTCACAATACGGGACTGTTCCTTATAGCGAGGTCTTTCTAAATGGAGTTGGACTTCTGAGCAATATTACTGTTCGATTGAATCCGGGTGATGTTATGACCGTTTCAAAAGATCGACATAAGATCCGTGTGACGTTCAATATGGAGGAGACTCAGGGACAAGCACTTCGTGATCTACTCGACAATGATCGGACGCACATATCATGGCGGATTGGCGCCAGCCATTACGTTCGTTATCTCGACGACAAAAATGTGTATATTTTAGGAGGTAATAAAGATTGCGACGTTGCAACACCATATGAACGCTTACATGCTAATTAAGCCGGGTCATCGACAATGGCGTAACTTCATATACACTAGAGAAATCTCCTTATAGGGAGTGTTCAGTACTACTCAATGGAGTTCCTCTGACGTTTCGAAAGAAAATGTGTGTCAAATCTGGGGACGTGATAAGCTCCTCGAATGGGCCTCATAGCATTCGATTGCATTTTCACGCCAGTGATTCTGTCGTGTCCTCGTGGAATGGTCAGTGCAGCGCGGAGGTCACCAGCCGTGCCACCCAGGTTTACGATGGATGTTACAACGCCTATGGGCGGAGGATGGATACTGGAGGAAGAGTCAGTCGTCTGTCTACTCACCCCCTCGGCTGCCCCTCAATACCCTCTCTCTATTCTATGTATATATAACTAATAAATATGTATAGCCCACATGTTTCTATGACTACATAACACCGCTACACCATCATGTATAGGCGTCCGGAACCTATAACATGATAATTCTAACATGGAAGTTGTGGCCTCTGAAGCGACTTCTCCGATTCAAACATTCGGGAGTAATAATCGAACCGATGAAAAACTAAATATCACGTACTAAAAGTTCACGCTGGTCCGGAAAGCCACGTTTGGAAGGAAATGATGATGCAAACCTAATGTTCAAGGTGAAATCGGAGAAAGGTTTGAGACAAGTGAGGATATTAGGAAAGACCTGTGCACTTGGTTTCTTGAAATCGAAGACCACTTAACCTGTAGCATTTGCTTTGCATCTTCTACAAGCCGGCAAATGTGATTCCATGTAACCACAACTTCTGCTTAGCGTGTATCTCAAAATGGAGGATGCAAGACGCGTCGTCAGACAGCTGTCCTGAGTGCCGAGCGGTGATAAGAAGTATGGGGAAAGATGCCTTGATAAATGCTTTCGTTTCCATGTTTCTGGACTATTTTCCAGAAAAATCGCGTGATGCTGAAGATATCCGTTTGATGAACAAAATTGAATGTGATTATGCAAGCTTGTCCACAGCAGTTCCTCGGGAAAATTCTGCTTTGCTCAATCCACTATATCTCGTAGGGACTTGCTCTTCTTCAGAATGGGCAATGTGGAAGAAAGCGATGAACTTGAAATGTGAAATGGGGTCATCACTTGTAAACTGCTAGTCTTTCAATATTCGTTTGTTTCTCTGGATGCACATTATGGGTTAAAACAGTATGACACCTCAGTGATTAATTGTGTCTGATGATTTCTGCTGGCTCTACAAAATAAAGGTTTATTGTGTAAAAGAGTTGTAAAGACTTTCAATTGAGAGCAGGGACGTTCAAACAACAAGATGTGCGGTCAGTGTAAAAACGGACACCAAAAAATGAACTGTATTAAAAAGCTGCCCTGCAAACATCAGGTACCAAACAAGCGAAATTGAAAAGACAGAAAGTTCACAGTGTTTGGAAGGGGGGGGGGAATTATTTCTACACAGGATGGATATTTCATGAGCATCGTCAATTTTTGAAGTCTTTCATCATCCACACGGTCAGGTGAAAATCACCCTCACATACAAGTTCTACGATTGAAAATGATTGAAAAATGGGTAGTGGGGTAAGTTACGAGGCCTTCATCGGGTGACTCTTCCGTGAGAAAAGAGGTGAAAAACCATCGGGAGTGATTCAAATAGGGACAAATTTGGTTGCCGCGCAGTCGCACTGCAAATCAACACATTGTGCTCGCTTCTCAGACCCTGGCTCATATAACATTCCTTTGCATCATCCAGTGTTGAATAACACTAGCGTGAGGAAAACGAAAAATGGTGTGGAAACGGAGCCCTTAACAAGGTACTAGTTTTCTGGAAATGGGCATCGCGGTGATCCGACGAACTATTCACGCTGCAGGCAACAAATGCGGCGTGGTTTACATGCTGCAACTGCGAGCGCATCATTTGTGAGTCAAAGCAACTCCAATCTGAACATCTGAATTTGCGAGGTGGATTCCCTTTGATTGAATGCTCTACTTCCCCTAAAAGATATCCAAAAAAGCAAGATGGCTCACGAGTGCTGACAGTAAAATTTCAAAGCAGTTTCCGTGAAGAACACATAAAATGATCGCGCGACACTGCAGGCAAAAGGCGCATGGTTCAAATGCAAGTCGTTGTTGCAGGGTTTGAGAGTGGCTGGTCGCTAGTTACACGTTCCTGGTTCCTTCATCCTTCATCTCGCTCTAGTGAATGAAGAATGTGGTACGCTCTCAGCGACTAAAGACTAAAGACCCACCAAGTGCGGAGAGGCAATCCAGGCACGTTTTGGTCGCGAGACGTATCTTTAGATTCCTATAAGAAGCTCATGAGGTTATACGTTTGAGCTGACTCAACAACTGAACCCCGGATACCTGCTCAGCTGCCCAACACCACATCTCACTTCAGGAATGTGTAGAATCTCTTTTACGCAGGGCTTGAGCAACTGGCGAGGAAACACTATTCTGCACTTCTAGCGTGCAAATCGTACAACATGCCAAAACGATGGCTGTCAGTTGAACAATGGCAATTATTCAGAGCTTTCTGAAGAAGTTCTCATCCACGGTTGGCACAGCCGCTTGCACTTGCGGATTTCACCGTGTATATATAGGCAGCCAGGCAGTTTCCAAGCAGCGGAATCGTCCTACTGTTCTACACAATGGCTACACTTGCTTATCTATTGGCAGGTGCACTACTACCCTCTTCAATGGTGGCAGTAGTAGAGGCACAAATTTTCGAGTGTCTTAATGGTGGAGCAGGACGTAAGTTCAATCACATCAATTCAGTTGTTTCTACTCAGGCCCACAGATCCAGAAGACATGTTACATGGCGTGTTACATGCATGTACCTTGATGTCACACGCCGTCCATGTCAAGGCGTCCGGAGAGGGGTGTCCAGGAAGTAGTTGTGGCAGCAGTGGCTCCGTACCTAAGAAGTGCTGACGATGAGGGGCAAAGGGACAGGATAGCGAATAGTTGGGCCTCTCTGCCGCCTGCTTTCTAAGCTAGCAACATCCCAATGCAACAGGGCACTCCCTCTCCAGCTCTGTGAAAGAATCTCACTGGGAGCGCTTCATAGAGTCAGTCAATATAATGGCTATGGGGAGGGGGAAAGGTGATAGTAAGTGAAAAGGGTCCAGGCGGCTATGACGAGCAAAGAAACTCCAAGAGGATGGGTCCATCTGCCAGCATTCTCCTATGATTTCGAACTGTTACAGCATGCGTTAACGGAGCTTGCGCGAACGCCAGCTTACAGTGCATCAATACAACCACTGGTGAATTATGCTGTGAAACGTCGCAGGTGAGGACATTTTCGTATATCGTACACTGAAAAAAGACACAGTCATCGATTATCTGAGATATGGGAACAGTTGTGGGTCCGGAGCATCAAATGAGCTACAATCTTCCCAGCTAAAGAGCTGATAGGACGCAAGGAGAGATGGGGAAGTTTCCTCGAGGCAGCATACGCCCGCTTGGTGCAGAGCACCGCACAAAGAGTGAAGTTGCACTCGTGCTCAGTTTTTTTTCTGCCTGTCCTCTCGCTCTTGCGCGCTGTGCTTCTATGCCATGAGATTTAACTCAAAGGCAGTTGGTGCCTAAAATGCTAGTAGGGCGCTATATAGTGGGGAAATGGCGAAAGAACGGAGTGAAACGGTCAAAATCCTGCGAAGAAAGAGCCTCCGTTCTCAATGTGTTAGAAATCAATTTTGGACGAGTTTCCTGTAGGCATCTTGCCAATAACCGCTACCGAAGGTACGGCTGCATATGTGTACTCATATATCCATGCAGCATCACGGCCGCTTCATACCAATCCCTTCGCTTCATAATTTGCTTAGCAAATGAATCAATACGAGCGTCAGGAACGGTCGTCCATTTGTGGGCGGGCGGGCGTGGTGGGCGTTCGGGTCGGTATGTTGTGGCTTGATAGGGCCCTTATAAGGGCACCTTCCTTGGAAAAGGCGCTATGCAGCGCCTGCTCAGGGTCGCGGAATTCCGTCCTGCCAGGCGTATTAATCCTGGTCGTCTTGGAGGTATCGTGCCAACTGCCTTTAACTGCACGGAAAGGATCTTCTGGAAGGCGTTGACGCTCCATTTTTTCTTCTTATTCAAATGCTTCGATTCCCTTTGCCTTCATTCTGCTGTGACATAGAGAGCATTTGCAAGCTCCATTAACTTCATTTGTTTTCCTAATAGATTTTCATAGATTTCCTATATTATATTTCCCGATAGATTGGAGATTTATTCGAATTAAGATCCAAATCTTGGGAACTTCTACAATGGCAACTGCAAGCACTAGTGGCACCGGTGAGTTGTGCAATATATTTTCTCAAAAATCCCCATTTTAGAGTAAGCGGAAATATTGTAATCGGATAAAACCTCGAACTTGGCACAATAATGGCAATTTGACATCTTTCCTATAGAACGTTGAGATGACCTCGGCGTGTGGAGAATGGTACCGCTACCTGAAAGGGCTACGGCAGGCCATGGAAATTAGGGAGAAAGGACCAGTCTTCTGCCGAAGATCCTGTGATGTTCGGCGGTGGTAACGGTGTAGTGGAGAGAGGTGGCCTACAATCCGTGCGCATAGTCAGAGCAGTAGTGCTGGAACAATGTCCACACTGGCCAACCACCCCTACGAGGAAAGCAGGTGGTGCCAGACACAGGTGGTAGGATAAAAGAAGGACTTGTGCATAACGGGGAATTTGTGCGCCAAAAGGTTCATCCTTTGTATTATTCGAGTGATATTTTTCTACTAAGCAAATCGTTACTAATTAGCAAAGGATGAAGTTTGACGTCTGTGGTGAGCAGCCAGGGGTGATTTACGAGTGGGCAGGGTTTGAAGTTCGCATTTTTTCCCCTTTAAAGGCCCTTCAGTGGTAAATCAGTACGTGTAGGCCAAACGACTTCTGTCGGGATGAAGCATTTCTTGAAGTACATTCATCAGTGTAGCCTCAGTATAGTCGCAAACAGTCGGGGCGGTGTCAGGAGGCATTTGAGGAGCTCACCTGTAGCGTTTTCTACCACTGGCTGTTCTTCCTGAACCAATCAGGTAGAGAATGTAGCGGGGTTTAAGCTCAATTCACCAGTTTCAACACCAGCCCGACTGACTTTGATGACGTCAGCTATAACCGCCATGGAGCCCCAACCCAACAGAAGAAGTTGGAGCAGCCTTCAACACCGTATTTTCCTTCAGGACTAACTAGGAAGTCAAAATTTTCATGAAGTACTTCATTACAGCCTGCTTTGATCGCCCGAATCCGAAGACCGGTAAATCGGACTGTCGCTTCATGTCACGTCTGTGCGGTAACCCTAAGTATAGCGACGTCATGAAGACGCAGTGCCCGAAAACATGTGGTTTCTGTGGAGTTGGAGGATCGACATTCGCACCTTATTTCACAGGAGGTGAGCTTCTCCCACAACAGCGATATTACAATAATTACTTCGACGTATCCCTTAGTAGTAGAGTTTAAAGGGGTGTTCTGCTTCTTTCCTTCGTATTGCTCAGCATTATCGCTAAATTCGTAGGTTTCTCATATGTCTGCGCTTAAAGCTACCTCAGTCGGGGTCTAGCCGGGGCATAGTCTTGCGGCCAGAAAGACATTCTCATTGAGAATACGGTGCACCAGTCGTTAATTGAAGTCGGAAGGGGCGGGTCACTTTGGCACTTGGGTTCAGCTCGGTTCCAGCTCATTTTCCAACGATTGCGGCTTCAGCCGTTCAATGAATGGTGCAGCGGGGGTTGGCGCTGCGCCAGAACCCACGCACCGCTGACACGCCCCGACCAACTTCTGGGATAACGACTCCACGTCTCTTGGTTTCTGTTCGGGGCGCAATGGGAGAGGCGTTGTAGTACATCTGACTCATCCCCAACGGTCATCGAAGACTACACTTGAAAGCCTGATGGAGGTACCGAGGTAGTTCATTTGAGAGCCCCATGAGCTTCATACACTATTAGACTCTTAGGCTTCGAGATAGCACTGCTCCAGATTTTAACTTGAATCTCCTAGTGTTTCAGAATGTAAAGATATGGTGAATACTGCTACCGGAAAGTCAGACTGTGGCGATCGTCAGCACCTCTGCCGCGACCCGAATTATGAGGAGCTCATGAGTCAGCAATGTCCGCAAACTTGCGGTTATTGCCCCTTGTAAATATTTGTTCACTGCATGTTTAGATTAATTGCTTTCAATTCGCTGTACAAAGAATAAAGCTTGGCTGTATTGGATTATTACATGAAAATAACTAACATATAGTTGTTGTACTGTGAAGCGTCCTCTGAGGTTGCTAAAACGTCTGCCTCGTTGACTGAAATCGTGCTCTCGATATCATCGACTTGCTCCATTCTACACTCCAAAT